TATAGTTGTATATTTAATATTTATGCATGTATATTATACAGTTTATACTGGATAAATTATAAACTATATATACTCATAGGAAGAGCACATAGAAAGTACATCGATCATCATAACCTCTGTATAGATATATTAAACATATATATATATATATATATATATATATTAAATATTGTGAATACAGTGAACATTGACATCATAAATTCTGTTGGTAAAGAACATTATTATAAGAACTTCAAACCTGACTATATTTTTTATTAATGTTAATGTTTGTAAATGATAATTTAAATAAATTATTTTTAACATTATTATTTAAGGATGAATAATAAAAGAAGCGGTTAGTTGTGTTCACACACACCAGATAATTAAAAAGGCTCAGCAGTTAAATAAGCCATAGCAAGTATAAAAGCAAAAGCAAAAATAATTAATTCATCTACCCGAAATTTAATAAATTAAGCCGTGAAGATATTTCCTACATATATAAGTGATCAGTGACTACTGACTATACATTATATCAATTACATTTTTAAAAAATAAGGACCATCAAACAAAAACCGCCAACTAATCCAATAATTATTAATAATTTAGAAATTTTCGGTGAATATACATCAAAAGGTGATAAGTTTTTATTTTATGATTATAAAATGCAAAACGTGTACTTATATTTTCAATACACTTTTAGTATGTTCAAATTAGATGGAAGATGGTATATTTTATTAGATATCAACATTATTTTTTCAATTTTTTACTCTAAATGGCATAAAAAAAAAAGAAGTTTTCTTTTTATTCATATGTTAATGGTAGATCGCATTAAAGATTCATATATTGAAATTTTTAAAATATTAGAATCATTATTTTTGGATTTTACTCTCGAGTGAATTATGATAGACCTCAAAATGGCTTTTATATCTGCATTTAAAGATAAGTTTCCAATAGTTGACATTAAAGGCTCTTTTATTCATTTCTAATGAAGTGTGGTTCTAAGTACAAAGCAGTAGTTAACAAAAGTTGTGTGGTGATGAT